GGGGGGGGGGGGGGAGGGGGGGGATGCAGCACGCTTGAGCACGTGGTAAGAGGCTGGCCGCGCAGTGGCCCTGCTGGCGCAGCCGTCAGACCTGAACCACCCGGCGAACGCTTGTGCCGGGGCAGGGCGGTAATCTCGTATGTCGCTCTGCGTGGAGCTGTGACGTCGGGTCGGGCATGCATGCCAGCGCGCATTGCCCACCTGCTGCGACAAGGCAGAAGACGCTGCGGGCCAGCAGTTCGCTGCAGAGCAGTAGGGCGCCAGCCAGGGGCAGGCAGCGCACGTAAATGAGATGTCTTAGAAGAACGACAAGCACATACCACACAGTTGTGCACATGTGCACACACATGCGCGCACTAGCGCACTCACTCACTCGCGCACAAGTCAGCTATGCCCTCAAGCGTGCTCTCCCCCGCCCCGCACACACACACGCGCATGAGCGCCAATCCCATGGGTGCACCCGCATCCTCACAGATATGGGCACATGCGCATTGGGGAGACGGGGAGCATGCAAGCATCTGACAGCCGTACAGCAGGTCACTGTGCCGCGTGATGATGCGAGCCGCCCGTCCCCGTTGTCCCCAAACCGCACTTGCCTGTATTCCCCCTCGATGTCGCCGTAGCCCCCGACGTGAATGTTGAAGCGCGTCCAGTTGTGCTCCTTGGACAGCCGCGCGATCTGCAAGGGGAAGGGCGCGGTTCAACTTGCCGGTGGGTTGCAAGAGGGTAGTTGTTGGGACCGCGAGTTGCAGGGTCTGCTGAGCGAGGCCCAGTGGTATTGCGCACAAGCGGGAGCTTCAGCGTGCGTGACGGCGCACAACCACGATTGCAGAGGGTGCAGGACCAGCATTTATGAGGCCCTGCGGCTGCCAACGTCCTGCCAACAGCAGCCTGAAAGCACTCACTGCCCCACGCACCCAACCCCTGATCATCCAGGGGCAGGCCGCGGCCCCACCTCCTGCCTAACGCCGCGGCTGTATGATGGGAAGTCGCTGGTGCCCATGCGGCCGCGGTGGAACAAGAGGATGTCGCGCTTCGGCTGGGGGGCGCCCAGGTAGGGTGACGATTTGTACCTGCCCGAGGGAGGTTACAAAGCGGCAGGGGCGGCTCGGGCAGGCAGGCGATGCGCAGAGGCGGCCTCGGAAAATTGCATTTGTCCATCTACGAATGCCATCAGCGGCCCCAGCCGCCCGGGCCAAGGGGCAGTGGTTGGTGGCCGTTGCCGCTTGCGGGTGAGCAGGGGCGAGCACCCTTGGCACCCCAGACTGCTTTGTGGTAGGCTCTTTGTCACCGAAAACCCAATGCATTGTGCGGCAGCTGGTATCCCGTTTCTAGATTCTGGGCACCGATGTGCAACTCCCAGCCATGGCAGCCCGCCACCCACGGCAGTCAGGCGCCCTGCACGGCCGCCCCGCGCCGTGCCGCGCCGCGCCGCGCCGCGCCAAGTCACGCCGCGCCGCCCACCTCTCGGGCCCCCTGAACAGCGGGATGACCAGGTCCTTGCCCGGGGTGTAGCAGGGGTGGCCTCCGATGAGTCGCGTGAACCCCTGGGGCTGGAAGGGGTCGTCGGTCACCTCCAGGGTGTAATTGTCCTGGGGGGTTGACGCAGCCGGGGGGGGGGGCGGCGGGGTGAGGAAGGGTCGTGCGGGGGCGCGACGCGGCGATCAGCGGGGTGGGGTGGGTGTGTGGCGGGCCGGCAGGTGGGCGACCGGCCAGCGGGCGGCGGTCAGTGGCGCGCGTCACTTTGCGTGCGGGCAGGCGGGCGGGCGCTTGGCTGGCTTGCGGGCTGGCGCGCAGGAGGGCGGGCGCTTGGCTGGCTTGCAGGCTTGCGGGTAGGAGGGGGGGCGGTTGCTTGGCTGGCTTGCGGGCTGGGGCATCTGGCTGGACGGCTGGCTGGCTCGCCGGTTTGCCACTAGGCGGTTGGTGGCTGGCAGGCAGCTGTGCGGCCAGTGTGGATGCAGCGGCGCAGCTGCGGTGGCTTGTGGTGGGCCACACGTAAAGCCCACGCGTGCAGCATGGATTTGACTGGCTTTGGACTGAGCCTGGACTGCCATTGACCGCTGGCAGACAGCAGAATGATATGGCAGCAGGCAGGGAAGCCGATCAACTTTTGGCGCCTGCAATAGTATGGCGCGACACCATCTTCTTTTCTAGGCTCACGCAGCCCAAGAACACTCTCCTGGCAAGCTGACCCTTCTGTCCCTGCCCAGCCACTGCCCCCCCTCCCCACCCCTTGACCCCTTACCCCCGCATCTCACCGGGTAGTAACTAGTGCCGCTGACGTGGTGCTTGTCCAGCCGCCCCCAATGAGTCAGGATTATGGAGTTCTCGTAAACCTCACTGGGGGCCCAGCAGGCGCCCTCGTCGTGCGCAAACAGCCAGATGTGGTCGGCGCCGCCGGTCCGGTTCCAGTAGGGGTGGGCAGTCTTGACCCAGGTCAGCAGCTCGTGAGTCATCGTGACCGCGTGCTTGACACTGCGGCAGAGGCGGCATGCATGCGTGCGTCAGGGCGGCCGTGAATTGAGTGAGGCCGTCAGCCCAGATTTCGACCGAGGGATGGGGCGAGACATACCATTGAAGGCGTGGCGCGGCCGGGCCGGAGGCATGCAGGCTGCACCCAAGCATGGGCGGCGAGAGCGGCGCCGCGGCGAGCGGCGCGCCCGGGTCCCGCGGCCGGCGGCGGTTGATTTGTCATGCTTCCTTCGGTGCTGGCGGGGCGTCGTGAGGGGACCCACCGTGACCAGGTGTCGACGTACCACCAGGGGTAGTCTGCCCAGCCTGTGGGAGGGGTGGGGTGGGTACGCATGCCGGCGCACATGTTCGGATTTGCCATGGTGGGATTGGAGTTTGGGGGTGGAGATGGGAGGGAGATCGGCAGGGCGTATGAGCGCAAGAAGGGGACCTGCCCTGCACGCACAGGGTGTGCAAAAGGTGAAGTCCGACTGCTGCACGTTGCAAACAAAGCGAATGCCAGCGTAAATCAAAGGGCTAGCTGCTTGCCTGGGCGGTGCCGGCCGCCCCCAGTCCCCGGCCTCAATCCCGCCGGCC